GAGGAATTGTTTTCACAAGTCGTTTTGTTTGTTGGCACACACAATATGATTACCACTGCTCAGGTAAAATCATTAGTTCCTGTAAATAGTGTTGACAAAAATGATGAATGCCAAACAAATAGCTTTTCCAAAGTTTGTCAACATCACCAACATGGCTTTGCTGAGATGCCGACATTTTCCAAAACAAAGTCTATTTCATGCATGTTGACCATTGTTCTAACATCCCGTCTCCATTGTAGGGCCATGTTGTATCATGTCATAACACTAGAGTGTGCAGTGCTGAAGTGTAAAACTCATCCGGAAAGTTTGGCCAACTTCCAACTGATGTCTCCATTCAAAACAAACAAAACACCAAGCCAGTTTATCCTTGAGGCTTGATCTCAGCACATCCCAACTGCTATACCATATACTACCAGTTCATTACCCATGCTACAAAGTCTACCTTTGCTTGTCATAAGCCTGCAGAGCTGTCATGTAGTATATAGAGAATACTAAACGAATCCCATGTAATACCATATTTATGAAATGAGTGAATGGTTTGGTGTCTACAGAACTAGTGCATTATGCCATCATAACAGGGCTCATGCGTATGAATACCTTTCATTTATCATTGTCAACATCAGTCTACTTAATTTGATTTTTTTAAAATAAACAAAGTGGTATGAAAAAGGGACCAAATGACTTAAACCAACATATTATTTTCTTTGTATAAATGCTATTACACAACCGAGATGCGTTGTGAAATAGTTCTGTCCGCGTGTGATGTTATTACACAATGTGTAATAACATTATAGACTTATTAAACAGTGATATCTTCAACGGGTGAGTAATAAATGGTGTTTGACAGTTACATGTGTAAATGTGACTCCATGTTTTGTCATAGGCTCTTCATCCAGCTAGTTTGCTCAGAGCAACATGAATCTTGCTGACATTAAGGCCTTCTTTTGGATGAGCTGGTTACAAATGTTGTTTCTGAAATGCTTTGGCAAGTGTTTGAAATAAAATAGATGTAGCAATTAGACCCAGTTTTTGTGGTTTCATAGTAAAGAAATAGTATTGGTGAAGATAGGAGGCAATGTTATTTCTTGATGTTTTATTTGACATTTTGGGAAAATGTTTGTTTCTTGCTTTTCACTTAGAAATATGCCGCTAATGGCACTGTAAATATTTTAATCAGGACCAGACAGTCTGGTGTAATATTGCTGAATACAACACTTACTCACTCACTCACTCACTCACTCACTCACTCACTCACTCACTCACTCACTCACTCACTCACTCACTCACTCACTCACTCACTCACTCACTCACTCACTCACTCCTCTCCACTAAACTTCACTCCACTCCGCTCCACCCACTCTACTCCACCCACTCCGCTCCACTCCGCTCCGCTCCACCCACTCCTCTCCACCCACTCCACCCACTCCTGATTAAGCCTCAATGAAGCATTCCAGAAACCAAGTACAAAACATTTTGTCCCATGTACTTTATTAGCCGACATGTATTTCTTCTCATAAAACCTTAAACTTTTATCGCTGTTTAAACAAAGATAATCAGCTGTATTCCTCATTAGCCGTGATATCGAGTGCACTTGTACATGATTAACTTGATTATTTTGGAATGAGGAATGATTTATGAAATATTTACGATGTTTGCCGCAGCTGGCTGTGATAGCAGGACACATGTATGCTATTTGTGTATCTGCCCCCGACAAGTCTCTCACCTCTCAGATACAAGTGATAGCACACAGTCAAAGGTACTCTTGACAAAGGTCCTTCAGAGAACGTAATCGGAAACATGCACATAGACATACTTTTCATGATTAGTATTTTATTACTTTAAATATCACTGTGATAAGTAAGATGTTTTTGTTCATTTTTTCTCAGAAGAGAAAAGAGATTTGAGAAGCTAGTTATGCAGTTTCTGAATATCTTAATTAGATTGTTGTTTATCCTGACAGGAAGTGTCCTGTTTGTTTTATGTTGTGTCAAATGTTTTTGGTCTTGTAAACCCTTGAAGACCAGAATTGGTTAGGATTGGTCTTATGACAACCCATGCTTGTCGTAAAAGGCGACTAGCAGGATAGGGTGGTCAAGCTCCCTCACATGGTAGATGCTTGTCTTTTCTCTCCAGCTGTGTGGATCAATGCTCATATCAATCACTGGAATGTCTGGTCAAATTCTGTTTTACTAAGGGTCTATCCTAACGTCTATTATGTCCAAGAGTCTGTATAGATAGAAATACGTTGTGTTTTATGTGTGGCACAGGGCACAGGAAAGATATTCATGTGTGACCTTAAGTGTGTCACCATAGATAATGTTTTTAAAAAAATATGAAGAGCTGTTTATTGAGCATGTTCACATGTTAATGTCCAGTTAACTTATATTAAGTCCGTTTTTCACTGGTTTTAAATACAAATCATTACAACTGTCAAATATCTTAGAGTGGGTGCTTAGGCATATGGTGTTGCTAATGCTATCAAGAAAGCTTGTCTGACATGAACCCGACTATTTACAGAAGGACACAGCACTGCTGACTGCAACACAAAACATTGAATAGAAATTTAGTTGAAAAAAATCCTCATGGTCAATTTACTTGGGTCATTTAGATATCCGTTATTGAACTAATGAACTAATTGAGCTCATCAGTTAACGATGACTTTCCACGTCCATGAGGAGGTACTGGTTAATGTCCAGCTGTGACCAGTCGACGCCACCATGGCTACTTCGTCAGTATGTTACTACTGATTAGTGGTCTGCTTCATTGCCCACTAATTTGCAGACATATACATGGATTCCAGATTGCCCATATTCTACCCAAAAGGGGAAAAATCGTTAATATGGCCTTTCTGCTTCAGGTGTAATTGTGATGATGACTGAACGTTTCTTTCATTAAACCATAAGACAGCGAAGGATCAGATTTTATGAATACATTGCAGTAACGCTTCTTTGATGTGGGTGTCAGTTGCTAGTACAATTCAATTTGGATACAGTTTATGAGAACAGATATTTATATAAGCATGTTTGTGTCCGAAGTCTCAATTGAATCAAAAGCTGGAATCATTTTAAGGAAGGACACAAACCATTGTGGACTGAGGGTCAGTTAGTTCCATCAGGGGGTAGGGTAGCCTAGTGGTTAGGGCAATCGCTCACCACGCCAAAGACCTGGGTTCGATTCCTCACATGGGTACAATGTGTGAAGCCCATTTCTGGTGTCCTCCACTGATATTGCTGGAATATTGCTGAAAACCCAACTCACTCACTGATAAGTGTTTGCAAGTTTTTTATCCAGTGTTAGCTGTTCCATCAGTATGTGCAGCCACACCAACACAGTCAGGCTTCTTGCATGGTTGGTTGGTTGGTTAGAGTAGCATAGTCGTTCATCGGTTGCCTTATTATCTTATAACATCTATGCTTGATTCCCATATTGAAAAAGAACGTAGTTTCACACAAGAGGGAAGAAAGAAAAGGCACCAGCTTTATCCACTGCTTTTGGATTACTTCCACAAGTAATTTTTCAAATTTTGCCTAGTGGTCTATGTCGGGTTTGATTCTATAAAGGAGTACAGCTTGTGAAGCAAATTTCTGCTGCCCTTTGTTGGATGATGATGAAATATTGTGGGATGTCCCCAACTGAACTGTTCCACTGACCTCACCTAATGCCTGGTACCACGCCCCTTCTCATAGCTCCCTACTCTACACTATTACATGGCTGCAATAGTGTGAAGCAATGGCTTAAAACTCGCTCAGTCAGCACAAAACCAAATAAATATTTTACTTGATGTAACGTTCCAGAAAGGAAATTTTAATTAAAAATTCAAATAAAAACATCACTTTATGGTCCTTGCTATTGTAAGGGTGTCTGTCATTCGGTCTTGCACCTGCGTAATAGACATAATGACTGTCAAGTGCTTTCCATCATTCTAATTACAGCAATAATTGATTGCGGCGTGGTCACGCTTCTTGACTTGAGATCAGTCTAAGCAAATATCATTAGTAATTGGCAGCCACAGTATGCCACAGTGCAGTGATACGGCTGTCACATGTACTGCTGCAGAGTCCGCAACATCGGCCGCGGCAACAGCCTCAGCACCCACGTGGAACGTTGTCCCTTGGGATGTGGCAAACATCACCTAATAACCAAGAAATTATCAACACTCACGTAGATTGTTTGTTCTGAAAATTGCTCTACATTTTGTACTTGCAAGGCGTTGCACCGAGTGACGTTGGCATTCATCAACCTGTAGACTTCATCTGCAACACCAGTGTGGCATTTTCAAGAATTTTGAAAACTTGTTTTATGACAGACATTTGTGTTTCAAGACATTAACAAAATATGAAATGTGAAAGAATGTGTGAGTGATATTTCGTATCTTCATTTGACATTTGGTTGTATTTGACTAATTCTGTTTGAAGAGAGTTTATTTCAATTTGGAATCAATTGTGCCATCATTCATGAACGGTACATGATAACATGTTGGAATATGGATGTGACATATGACTAATTAGGTCTTAAAGGTAGAAAGATTTAATGCTGTGTCATCAGTTTAGTTTGTATTAGCACTTCAGGCTTTCAGTGTTTTGTTTTCGGCTTGTTTGAAATGTTCTTTCTAAGACTAAATTTCCACTTCGCATGGCTGTAACTGACAAATATTTCACGATTTAAACCAATAGATTTAAATTCTTTTCCATTTTCCATTGCTTTGTGAGCCACTGTTCCTATTCCTGATAACAAATTACTCTCTTTGTACCAAAACAAATCAGGGCCAAATCACAGCTTTGCCAAGCCAAGTTTCTGGAAGTTTATATGTTTCTTATTGATTTCTGCAGCAATAAATCTTCAAGGGTAGTTGGTAATTTCCGCTTTGCTGTATTGTTTTATGAATAGCCAGCAGCGCTGTGTAGGTATATATCCTTGTCTGAAGGGAACTTATACCTGGATCTTTTAAAAGTGTTTGTTGAGTGCAATTTAATATTTTACATTCATTCTTCTGTTGACAGGCACTGGTGTGATAGTTCTGTGGGAAATATAACGGGGCCACTGGAGGTGATTTCTTTAACCTAGGATCACAAGAGGTCTTGCTCCAGATTGTGGTAGGTGGCAGTTTTTGGTTTTTTAGTGTAGTATTGGATTATAATAATGAATTTGTTACTCTTGAATTTGCCTGGGAATGGATTTTGTCAATAACCAACTTCAAGCGGTGGATTTGTCGTGTTATTGATTTTAATGGAATGTGCCTCTGATTTAAGACCATGCCTGGAATTGAGGTTCAATGGAAATATCCAGAAAGAGGTTATTTTACTGATGTAAATTAGGATGCAGTTGGGTTTAGGGTGTTCTTTAAACACTGTTGATTGATTCACATAAGAGATATGGAACAAATAGCCTGGTTTGAAAGGAACAGCTGTGTATGTGTTAGGCTCCAGTGGTGCAGATGTAGATATATCGGGGAGACTGATTGAGTCAAGTCTGTTGATAGATAATGATACACATATGGTACAGTGTGTCACCTGTAACACAGGCTAGAAGGGTGTGTCGATTGAAACAGAGGCTAGAAGAGCATGTCACTTGTACCAGAAACTAGAAGGGTTTGTCACCTGTAATGGAAGCTAGAAGGGTGTGTCAGCTGTAGCAGAGACTAGAAGGTTGTGTCACCTGTAATGGAAGCTAGAAGGGTGTGTCACCTGTAGCAGAGACTAGAAGGTTGTGTCACCTGTAATGGAAGCTAGAAGGGTGTGTCACCTGTAGCAGAGACTAGAAGGGTGTGTCACTTGTAACACAGGCTAGAAGGGTGTGTCACCTGTAATGGAAGCTAGAAGGGTGTGTCACCTGTAGCAGAGACTAGAAGGTTGTGTCACCTGTAATGGAAGCTAGAAGGGTGTGTCACCTGTAACACAGACTAGAAGGTTGTGTCACCTGTAATGGAAGCTAGAAGGGTGTGTCACCTGTAGCAGAGACTAGAAGGGTGTGTCACTTGTAACACAGGCTAGAAGGGTGTGTCACCTGTAACACAGACTAGAAGGTTGTGTCACCTGTAATGGAAGCTAGAAGGGTGTGTCACCTGTAGCAGAGACTAGAAGGGTGTGTCACCTGTAATGGAAGCTAGAAGGGTGTGTCACCTGTAACACAGACTAGAAGGTTGTGTAACCTGTAATGGAAGCTAGAAGGGTGTGTCACCTGTAGCAGAGACTAGAAGGGTGTGTCACTTGTAACACAGGCTAGAAGGGTGTGTCACCTGTAACACAGACTAGAAGGTTGTGTCACCTGTAATGGAAGCTAGAAGGGTGTGTCACCTGTAGCAGAGACTAGAAGGGTGTGTCACTTGTAATGGAAGCTAGAAGGGTGTGTCACCTGTAACACAGACTAGAAGGTTGTGTCACCTGTAATGGAAGCTAGAAGGGTGTGTCACCTGTAACACAGACTAGAAGGTTGTGTCACCTGTAATGGAAGCTAGAAGGGTGTGTCACCTGTAGCAGAGACTAGAAGGGTGTGTCACTTGTAACACAGGCTTGAAGGGTGTGTCACCTGTAACACAGACTAGAAGGTTGTGTCACCTGTAATGGAAGCTAGAAGGGTGTGTCACCTGTAGCAGAGACTAGAAGGGTGTGTCACTTGTAAACAGGCTAGAAGGGTGTGTCACCTGTAACACAGACTAGAAGGTTGTGTCACCTGTAATGGAAGCTAGAAGGGTGTGTCACCTGTAGCAGAGACTAGAAGGGTGTGTCACTTGTAACACAGGCTAGAAGGGTGTGTCACCTGTAACACAGACTAGAAGGTTGTGTCACCTGTAATGGAAGCTAGAAGGGTGTGTCACCTGTAGCAGAGACTAGAAGGTTGTGTCACCTGTAATGGAAGCTAGAAGGGTGTGTCACCTGTAACACAGACTAGAAGGTTGTGTCACCTGTAATGGAAGCTAGAAGGGTGTGTCACCTGTAGCAGAGACTAGAAGGGTGTGTCACTTGTAACACAGGCTAGAAGGGTGTGTCACCTGTAACACAGACTAGAAGGTTGTGTCACCTGTAATGGAAGCTAGAAGGGTGTGTCACCTGTAGCAGAGACTAGAAGGGTTTGTCACCTGCAACACAGGCTAGAAGGGTGTGTCACTTGAAACAGAGGCTAGAAGGGTTTGTCACCTGGTGTAACAGAGACTAGAAGGGTTTGTCACCTGGTGTAACAGAGACTAGAAGGATTTGTCACCTGGAGTAACAGAGACTAGAAGGGTTTGTCACCTTTAACAGAGACTAGATGTGTGTGTCGATTGAAACGGGCTGGAAGGAAGTGTCGATTGAATCGGGCTAGAAGAGTTTGTCACCAGTAACAGGGGCTAGATGGGTGTGTTGATTGAAACGGGCTAGAAGGGAGTGTCGATTGAATCAGGGGCAAGAAGGGTTTGCCACCTGAAACAGAGGCTACAAGGGTGTGTTGATTGAAACGGGCTAGAATGGATGTGTCACTTGTAACAGAGGTTAGAAGGGTGTGTCACTTGCAACAGAGGCTTGAAGGGTGTGTCACTTGTAGCAGAGGCTAGATGGGTGTGTCACTTGTGTGTGGCAATCTGCACATCAGCATCACAGGTTGGCCTGACATTTAAGTGCATACCTACTTGCTCCATGGACATGGACATGTTATCTGTCAAGAATACTGCTTGACTTTAAGCCTCCAGGCAGCCTAACAGATATGGACAATATGTATACCATGTTGTTCTGATCATGTATGTTGTCACTGTAGAGCACGTCTCATCCTCAACTGATCCGGGGCGTTGGGGTAGCTTAGTGGTTAAAGCATTCACTCGTCATTTCAAGGACCCGAGTTCGATTCCCCACATGGGTACAATGTGTGAAGCCCATTTCTGATGTCCCCCGCCGTGATATTGCTGGAATATTGCTAAAAGCGGAGTAAAGCAATACTCACTCACTCACTCATCTGATCCTTTATGAGTAACATACTTCAGATCAACCATCCTGGAGATTGTGGTGTAGAGTCAGTTTAACCCTCTGGATTGTGTGGCATAGTTCAGTGAAATCTGGAAATGGCTTTGTACAATGAACTATTTTGTTACGTTCAGCTACAAGCAGTTTGGTTTGAAAGGCCAAATTGTGTTGTGTGATTATGTTTGAAGTCATATTGAGGTTGTGACTGACTTATGTGAACTTTCTGTTTACATTGTATAAGCCCCCTGGAAAAAGATGGTATCCTGCATGGCTCCCATATTGTACCTTCTATAAGCCCACTGGAAAAAGATGGTATCCTGTAAGGCTCCTATGTTGTACCTTGTATAAGCCCACTGGAAAAAGATGGTATCCTGTAAGGCTCCCATGTTGTACCTTGTATAAGCCCACTTAAAGTATATACTGTCCTGTCATACTCTGATTGTCTATATCTACTTATGCTCAAGTATACATACTGTGCTGTCAAGCTGAGATGATTCACCTTATATAAGCCCACTTGAAATACAGGCTGTCCAGTGAGTGCCTGATGTTTTACCTCATATAGCACCACTTGAAGTATCTGCTGGCCTTTCAGGCTGTGATGGTTGGCCTTATATAAGCCCTCTTGAAGTACGTACTGACCAGTCAAACTGTCATGTTTTACCTTAAATAAGCTCACTTGAAGTACGTAAAGACCAGTCAAACTGTCATGTTTTACCGTAAATAAGCCCACTTGAAGTACGTAAAGACCAGTCAAACTATCATGTTTTACCTTAAATAAGCCCACTTGAAGCACATACTGACCAGTTAAACTGTCATGTTTTACCTTAAATAAGCCCACTTGAAGTACGTACTGACCAGACCAAGTGTATGTTCATTCACTAAGTTCATTAATAATACTATGAAATGTGTATTCTTGAAACACGTTTTTATGAGTTGTTGAAATGCCTCAGATAACAGGGAGATTTGGTTTTAATATTGTATGAGTATTTTCGTGGATAAGCTAATTAGCTCAATTTGTCAGTAGACTTGTCGTTGTTTTGAGCGTGTTTGTTGGATAAGGGTAATTCCTTCCGACACTAGAGAAGGTAATTACAGTAAGGCAATATTGATCATAGGTTTAATCCAGGATAGTCCAGACTTAATAATTGATACAAACATCGTCAGTAGGACAAATATACCTGTGTTGCAAGAAAATCACTGATACTTATAGATTTTTCTATAGAGGTCTCATTTACACTGCATTCCAATGTAGGATCAATTATGTATGACAAGTTATGTTTGATGGGTCTCTGATATGGAGGTATGTACAACATGCTGGTGTCGTTTGTTTCAGTGTGACAATGAATGATCTGTGTCAGTATCTGTCATGTTTATTTTGGATTTCATGAAATTGATGTGGTTCCTTTTTCTACTCCAAGGGGCAGTGGGGTAGTGTATTGGTTAAAGTGTTCACTTGTAACGCCAAAGACACGATTCCCATTTCTGGTGTCCCTCGGTGATATTGCTGGAATGTTTCTAAAAGCGGTGTATAACCATACACACTTATGAAGGAAAACCAAGTTCTATGGACAGTCAACTTCTTTATTGCAGTGAGTGCAACGTTTCGGCTTAGGTACTAACACCGTTTTCACCTACACCAAAACATCGCACTCATTGCAATAAAGAAGTTGACTATCCATAGAACTTGGTTTTCCTTCATCTTTACAACTTCTTAAATGCCTCTCAAATAACATAGTCTTTTATTCTACTCAAAGGTTAAAGTGACTGTTATCACTATGTATTGATAACTTATAAATAGTTATAAGGATGACATGCACTTTATGGCTTTTCAGGTTGATAACATGAGATAACGCTCTGATAACTCATAACCCAGACACCACCTGTCATGGCTGTCATCTAGTTATGTCTCATTGAAATCAGGTCCTATTTCTAACTGTTGCTAAAACAAAGATGTGAGGACGTCACTCCATTAGATTTTAATTTTTTTTATCTTTGCAAAGATGATCTGAGTTATGGTGCCATCAGAAACATCCCTCTCAATTCCAGTATGCTTTCAGGCATTGCCACTATGGCAGCAGAATTAAAATGTCGGTTTTTGTCAGCATTGCTCCAGCTACTTCGCCCATATTGTTATGAAATCCGATACCCAGCAGCAGGAATGT